GACTTGACGAATAGAATAATAAAATCAAATCTCCATATACAATGTACAGCACATGTTTACTTCAAAATGCTCCAAAGAACATCAAAATATATAAATAGGCAATTTTTTTTTACATGACCTTTTGTACAGTTTTTGGCATTAGAAAGAACTTTTTAGAACTCTAAGCAACCATTCTTTCAGACATTCATTACAATATCAATGAATAATTTCATGTTGAATATGTGTCTGTCTGTCTTTATAGGCCAGGGGCTATTCTGCATGTTTTGACCTAGCTTTAATGTGCCCTGGTCTTAAAACTTAATTTAAAACTGAATGAGTTTGATAGAGTGTACCATTTAACACAAGTTTTTTCCCTCCAAGGTTGTTTGTGTTATACATGTAATTCAAAAGTGACTATAATCGTTTCATTTGACATTTTGACCAGTTAATTACTAGTCTAAAGCTTAATTTTTGTTGTTATTTTTTAAAGGAAAGGACTAAAAATATCAAAGGAAAACCACATAAATAAGATAACAAATTTAACAAGCGAGTGAAATGAGACTCTTAATTAAAGTGCCTTACTGTATCATGTATATGTTTTTGAAAAATAATTTTGCAAAAGAAACAAGAAACCAGCAATGCACCACATGCAGTAACAGCTTTGACAAACCTGTTTAATCATTGAATTGAAAAGATGCATATTTCTGATTTACATAAAAACAACATTTATTTCAGGAATACATTTCTGCTAGATAGAGAGCACAGATTTTTTGCGACATTTAATCTTCTTTTTATAATAAGCTTACATTAAATCAGATACAAAATAATCACCAAATCAAACAGCAGACATCATAGTCTAGCATCGTCATGACAACAGAATCAATAATAGATATCATGTTACAGTAACACATGTTACAGTAACACACGTTATAGTAACACATGTTACAGTAACACACGTTATAGTAACACACGTTACAGTTACACATGTTACAGTAACACACGTTACAGTAACACACGTTACAGTAACACACATTACAGTAACACACGTTACAGTTACACACATTACAATAACACACATTACAGTAACACACGTTACAGTAACACATGTTACAGTAACACACATTACAGTAACACACATTACAGTAACACACATTTTAGTAACACATGTTACAGTAACACCTCTTATTATCACAACATGAAACATTTTGATACATTTTACATAAAAGTATATATCATCTACCCAGATGAATGCTTCTGAATAAAATTTTGATACAGGAAAGTTTAAGCCACAGTGACCTTGACCCCAATCAACCAGAAGCTCCACAGCAAAGGTAAGAGGTACATGACAGGTATCAAAAACAGCAAATAAATGCAGATGTTAAAATGAACTGTTTTTAAAACTAAACGACGGAAAAAAGGACAAAAACCAGAATGTATCATTTATACTCTGATGCTGATGAAAAATTCTGTAGTACCAAACACCACAAAATACAGGATTAAATCTCATTAACTGGGACTTACTAACTGGTAACTTATACATGAAGTTACTGCACAATACTGGTGTATTTATATCTTATCTTATATGCATTCACACTAGTTCTGCAGTAAGATGACAAATTATGCACCATTTAAAGAAAGGCTTGTACTAATGTATAGAAAATATTACACAAGCATGTTATCCTGATTGGTTATTTAGCTGCAGTTGATTGTGCAAAGTTATATATTGGTATTCTCACATATCTTCAAGTCATGTGTGAATACAAATCACCTGGTGTAATATATATCCTGTCGAAATAGCGAACTCGTGAAAATTTTTGTACATAATCTGTAAAATGTGTAGAACAAACTGAAGGAATTATTTATCCATACTTATTATAATATAATGTTATGAGCAACACAAGGTGTGAAATACAGAAAAGTATCATCCACGGTGTATCATGACTCTAGAAAACATACAGGTATATAATAAATTAACATAATAAGAACACAACCTTTAAAAGCAAATTGTTACAAAAGAATACCAATGAGCTGAATTTTGAAATGTATACAGTATATAATATATATAAACGAACAATTTGAGTAGAAGTTGTAAATGAGAACAATAGAAGTTGTATAAAAGAAGTTCACATACATTTATGTACTAGTTAAACATGTTGTTTTTTTTTAATGAAAATTGTTAATATTCCATATTGAGCTCAAAAATGTTAACAAGATTTGTGTTAAATTATTAATTTGCATGAGCAATCAGACTGACCAATGGTAGATCGGTATCAATATAATAGTTTATATCGTGCCATCCATTGTGAGATATATATCAACTAATTTCACTTTCACTCCTTATGTACAATTTCATGAAACATTTAGTTTTAAACTAGAACTATCACTAAATGTGATTAATACCCCCACAAGACTGCTTCGGAAATGAGGATGTTACTAGTAACAGAATACCTTGTAAAAGAATTGAAATATAGAGTTATGGTTGTGGGCAATTAAAGATAGTTGTGGTTCTTATATGTTGCATTTCCTTTCAATGTGGTTGGCCATTGATGAAGTTTAATTGAATTACTCTGTAATAAGTCCAGAAAGACAAAGAAAAAGGAACAAAGGGCAATAACTCTATAAATACTGAAGATAGAGTTATAGTTCTTGTACAATGCACTTCCTCTTATTGTGCTTGACCATTGTATGAAGTTGTTTTCAATTCCAACCAGTATGTTTTAAGTTATGCTCCTGACAAGGAAAAGTATCAAAGGGCAGTAACTCTGTATTTTGTCAAAATGGAGTTATGGCTCTTGTGCACTGCACTTCCTTTTAATGTCCTTGACAACTGTATGAAGTTGTATTGAAAATTCCAAACAGTAGTTTTTCAAGTTAAATGCTCTGGACAAGGAAAAGTAACAAAGGGCAATAACTCTGTAATTAGTCAAGATGGAGTTATGGTTCTTGTGCACTGCACTTTCTCTCAAATGTGCTTGACCATTGTATGAAGTTATATTGAATTCCAACCATTAGTCTTCAAGTTATGGTCCGGACAAAAAAGGCAATGGAAAAGTAACAAAGGGCAATAACTCTGTAATTACTTTAGATAGAGTTATGATTCTTGTGCACTGCACGTCCCCTTATTGTGTGTTTGATAATTGTATGAAGTTTGTTTTGAATTCCAACCAGTAGTTTTCAAGTTATGCCCCGGACAAGGAAAAGTAACAAAGGGCAATAACTCTGTAATTAGTCAAGATGGAGTTATGGTTCTTGTGCACTGCACTTTCTCTTATTGTGCTTGACCATTGTATAAAGTTATATTGAATTCCAACCATTAGTCTTCAAGTTATGGTCCGGACAAAAAAGGCAATGGAAAAGTAACAAAGGGCAATAACTCTGTAATTACTTTAGATAGAGTTATGATTCTTGTGCACTGCACTTCCCCTTATTGTGTTTGATAATTGTATGAAGTTGTTTTGAATTCCAACCAGTAGTTTTCAAGTTATGCAACGGACAAGGAAAAGTAACAAAGGGCAATAACTCTGTAATTAGTCAAGATAGAGTTATGGTTCTTGTGCACTGCACTTCCTCTCAATGTGCTTGACCATTGTATGTAGTTATATTGAATTCCAACCATTAGTCTTCAAGTTATAGTCCGGACAAAAAAAAAGCAATGGAAAAGCAACAAAGGGCAATAACTCTGTAATTACTTTAGATAGAGTTATGGTTCTTGTGCACTGCACTTCCACTTACTGTGTTTGACAATTGTATGAAGTTGTTTTGAATTCCAACCAGTAGTTTTCAAGTTATGCCCCGGACAAGGAAAAGTAACAAAGGGCAAATAACTCTGTAATTAGTCAAGATAGAGTTATGGTTCTTGTGCACTGCACTTCCTCTCAATGTGCTTGACCATTGTATCTGGTTATATTGAATTCAAACTATTAGTCTTCAAGTTATGGTCTGGACAAAAAAAAAGCAATGGAAAAGTAACAAAGGGCAATAACTCTGTAATTACTTTAGATAGAGTTATGGTTCTTGTGCACTGCACTTCCCCTTATTGTGGTTTGACAATTGTATGAAGTTGTTTTTGAATTCCAACCAGTAGTTTTCAAGTTATGCCCGGACAAGGAAAAGTAACAAAGGGCAATAACTCTGTAACTAGTCAAGATAGAGTTATGGTTCTTGTGCACTGCACTTCCTCTCAATGTGCTTGACCATTGTATGTAGTTATATTGAATTCCAACCATTAGTCTTCAAGTTATGCTCCGGACAAGGAAAATGCAACGGACGTCTGGACCGACCGACCGACCGACCGCCCGACCGACCGACCAACCGACCACCGGGTGACTCCTATATACCCCCCCAAACTTCGTTTTTGGGGGTATAATGATCAGAGAAGTCCTTGTTTTAAGAATGAATACAGAAAGTCAAGAGCTTGGTGCTGTTTGATGCATTTTTCTCACATTTTAAAATAACAAAATATATCTCATTAATAACAAAACTAAAGAAAAACTATTTAAAATATTCAAAAAATAAACTAAATCAGATTAAATCAATTGCCTGCAATATAGGTACAAGTTAAAACTGATGATAAATATTGACTATTCATGTTTGGGTGATACACTAAACCACAAACGTTTATGAACTTTTGTATACTAAAATAGTACCAACACATTCAACTTTATTGCAGGCAATTGATTACCTTAAAGAAAAACATAATACACTAGCTCTATTGTAAGTGTGGAAAATGACCGTACGCAGCAGCCTGATCAGAATGGAGATTACTTGCTGAGGGCGTGATCTGAACCCACGGCAAATCTTCCCGTCTTTCCTGCCGCTGTTCTTGACGTCGTTTAGATCTGACGCTTGCTTTTGATCTCGTACTGCGTGCACTTCTCGCACTCCTAGCACTTCGAACACTCTGACGGTCTGAGCCGTAACAATTGTTTACATTAGCTTGTTTAGTGTTTCTCATGCTAGTCTCGTAACTAGGTGGTCTGTCTAATGTCGGATAATCGTTCTGATATTCCGTATGTGTGGTACGTGTATGTGTAGACTGGGTGTCCGCCTCGTAACCGGGGTTCGAGGCAGCGTGAGACGGTGTAGAATTAAGATCTGTATTTGCTCGTGTTAATGTATGCATCTTTACAAACTCAAGTTCATCATTAGCATTCGAAGCAGCTGAAAGAAAAATAAAACATAAAAAACATCTAAAAAACTATCAAAAAGTCAATATCTGCATGTCAAAAAATACTAGTAAATAAACTTGTTAGTTTAAGTTTTTCTAGTAAAGACAGTTAATGTGCAACAATGCAAGTCCCTGAAAATATCTATAAGAGTTGTGTACCTTGACAATTAAACAGTGGATACTAAAAGAAATCTTCTGAAATTAACTAAATGAAAATACACTTACACAAGAGGGTTAGGTTAAGAAACAACTATTAATCCAATATATAAGGTTTAAAAGTAATATTAGAAGTTATGACTTTGTCTTTAATTTAAGGATTTAAACAACAAATTCTTTTTGTACAAATATTAATAAGTATTAAAATAAATGGAACATTATAGTGATGGACTTCAGGGTCTAAAGAGATAGTGATAATAAAAACTAAATTAAAGTCAATCTCACATTAATTATTCTCTTACATACAAAAACGAGGAAGTTGTTAAAAAATCATTCACGAAAAAGTAAAACTTTAACCAGAAATTTGTAAAGTAAAATGACGGTAACCCTTCAATGCAAAAATTGAGAGAATAATTGTCAATTTTTGCAGTATTGTTATCATTCATTAAATCCATAATTCTTCCTGCAAATCACCTTATTTAAAGAGCTTTAGAAATGATAGCAGAGAATCAATACTCCCATTGCTATATTTCTCTCTATTTAACAGCTTGTATAAATGACACTTTATATCTTTACATTCAATATTGTTATCACACATAATGACATATCTAAAAGTAAACAATTACTGAGACATTACAAACTAGGAAAATGTCAACTATAATACAGAAACCATGTTTTTTCCCAGTATTTTGGAACATGATCCATTGGGAATTGGGAAGTTCAGCGATGATTTGTTAAAATTGGGAAAAAAATGCATGACTGAAATTTTGCAGTTATTAAATGAATGCAAACAATCACTGTCTAGGATGGCAACTTCAAACATTTAAGCACCACTAAAGAGATGAAGTCATCATTTTCAAAATTTTAGAATTCTTATGCAATATTTTTATTTTGAAACTTTCAATTGGGAATATTTCCTGTGGATTGGGAAAATAATATACTATTTTTAATTGGGAATATGACCAAATATCGGCTAGAAAATAAGCCAAAAAAATCCCTGGAAATTAAAAGTGGTTAGACTTGGCTGCCAGTATAGAGCCAGGCCAGCATGCACTGTCTTACAGGTTCTATGCTGTCAGCTGAGTATCTTTATACTTTCATCTTGATATCCCTTATAATTGAAAATGGTGCATTTGCTGCATTCCAATTGAAGCTGGACAAGTATATTATTTAAAACATAGCACCAAACAAAAATGGTATTAGATAATATTTAGGGTTTTCCTTTTACAGCAGACTTCTGTGTCCCTGACACAGGTTTTGGTTGCAGGACAGCCATTTTTTGTCATCAGGAATACAACCAAAGGACCCCCAAATTTCCAAAACCATTTTAGAATTTTCAAAAAATCTCAGAAATTAAGGGCTAAAATTGGAATAACCATGACATCTTTTACACAAAATATGTCAGAATTTACTATAAATAGCACAATGTTTCTACAGGAATTCATGCTATTTTATCATAGCTTCACATGTTATAAGTAATTTCTGATTATCTGTAGAAATTCAGCGGAATCAGTACTAAAGGCTAGCCATAATCACTTAGTGGTTAGAACCAAATTTTTTAATGAATCTTTAGGTGGGCTGCTATAAAAGCTGACTTCAAACAATCTGTAAACAGCATTCATACCTCTTTGTTTAGCTATGTTTAGCTGCTATTCACAAACTATGCATTATACTATTAATAATTATAATACATGTGTATATATACATTTATTATCACTTTAACAATTTGTTAGACATGGGAGAAGAACACTACATTTCTAAGACATGATTCAAAACTACAGGATACATTTATTAGTAACTATATGATTAACTAGCAAAATAATCTACATAGTATATATTAGAAAAAAGTTATTACAAAATTAATAAAATGTTATATAATATAAATGGAATAAGGGGGAGGTAATTAGAGTTAATCAGAGTGTTATCTTGGTTAGAGTTATCTCCCCACAAAGCATGCTTCATATTTTCACATGATGTACTGCGAATTCACTTAAATTCGTGGGCATGAAATTTCGTGGTTTTATCAAAAAAGGCATTTTCGTGGGTTCTTGAATTCGTGGATTTTCGTTTTCTTGTTAAAAAAAATCAGTAACCTAATGCAAAATAATCTTAAACTTAATCGCCGAACATTTTTACTTACAACATGTACATATCTTTACTTGTCACACAGAGCTTGTCAATAAATTTAATCCTTGCCTCTAGGCATAACTAATATAGAACAGTTACTGCCGATAATTGACTGCAATTAACACATTTATGTGACATGATATACACACTGCCCCTGTAATGCGCCGATGTAAACATCGCATAATTTATAGGACACCTGACAGGTTTAAACCTGCGAGTTTAAAAGTTTACACCCTGAATTGGTCTTAACATATTTGACAGTAACTACACGCAACGTCACAGCGACTGTGTAAATTTACATGCATATAAATTAATCTCGGTAAATAACACGAGTATGTGTGGATCTTTTATACCTTGTAAAAGTCGGTTGCGTCTTTGATGTTGACGGAATAGCATTCGCACAAATACAGATTAAAATTCATATAAACTGGATCATTTAAAACGACAAAAGAATGTACAATAAATCTGTTTTAGCGATCGTATTTTTTTATAGTTTTGTGTACTTACGACATTAATATCAAAGACTTTTTTTAATAAATAAGAGCAAACTGACAATTTTTATTAGCGCTTACTATTGCACTGCCTGGGTTCCCATATTTACTCGATTATGTCAAGTATTCTTGTTGACACAATCAAGTCCTAGTAGACTACAACGATCAAGTACGTCTATGCGACATTTGTGACAGTAAATTGAGGACATATAATCGAGTTTTCTTTTATTTTTTTTAAATATTGTATATACATCCATTTCACGAAATATCGGCCGGAAAAGAGCCGACGCATGTTTGTAATACAAATGTATATAGAACAAAGACTGGGTAAGAAGTATTTGTTGGGATAAAAGTTTGTGGGATCTTAAATTCGTGGATTTACCTACCCACGAAAACCACGAAAATTCGTGCCCCACGAATAATAATGATCTTACAGTATGTAAGTTATTTATATTGACAATTACATTGATACATTTAAGTTATTTCAATTTATAAAATTTATAAAGGACCGTATGAATCTTGTTAATTTTAGTGATGACTATATGTATGCAATCTGTACATTAAGCCAGTCTGACCATGCTTTATATACCCTACTATTGGCTTTTTTTTTTTCTTCAAATTTTAAAAATGAAATTCTTTCAATAAACATCAATAGGCCAGTTCTCAATTCAAAGCTGGCACAATGTTAAAACTTTATTATATAATATAACAAAATGTCAGGCAAATAGCAGAGAACAATATTTATTTAATATTATATGTAAATCATATAATTAATTTGTTTCTTATTATTCATAGTACCTAATGTAACTTGTTAATAAGCTATTAAAAAAACAGACAATTACGACAAAGATCTCTGTTAAAAACTGTATTCTTATATGCAATTTGACTTTTTACTATAAAACCAATCTACTAAGATACTGCTAAAAATGTTTCAGAAAAGTTAACACAAGGGAAGATATGATAGCGTGCTTGACTATTCTCAGTGCTTGATAGTAAAACAAGAGCCTGGATAAAGTAGAATTTTCTGCGTTCAAAAGGGTGATAATTCTGTAAAAATCTATGTTAAAGTTACGGGCCTAGGACAGTGACCTCCTATTATGCTATCAAATAAGTGTGGGTAGTTTCCCATCAGTAGTTTCAGAGATACCAACTAGCATGCAGAAACTTAACCATGTGTGATGCAGACGCCCGAGTGAGTACAATAGCTTTCCCTATTCTTTAAATAGCCAAAATAAAGAAAGTAAAAATGCATTTAAGAATACAGAATTCCACAGAATCTGTTGATTACTGTACAATGATTTATTATGTCAAGGCAATAAAGTAACACTGTCAAAACTAAGAGAACTGAAAGAACGAGCCTTGACAGTGTTGCTATACACCCTCAGTGTGCCTTTAATAAAATGAGCCGTGTCATGACAAAACCAACGTAATGGGTTTGCGACCAGCATGGATCCAGACCAGCCTGCGCATCCGCGCAGTCTGATCAGGATCCATGCTGTTCGCTATCAGTTTCTCTACTTGTAGTAGAGTTTGTAAGCAAACAGCATGGATCCTGATCAGACTGCGCGGATGCGCAGGCTGGTCTGGATCCATGCTGGTCGCAAACCCATTATGTTGGTTTTGTAGTAACGCGGCTCAAATGAGCATGCTTTGTGAAAAGATGAAAAAGATAGAGATACAATAACCCTCACACACCTTAGCAAGCGGAGTGATTAAAGTGCAACATGATATTGTCATTCACACAGCTGATATATTCTCACAACCATCGCCATGTGGGTTATGTGCCCAAAGACCGCCAGAGTTATATGCCCTTGAACTGTAAATAGACTGATCTACTGTCCCATTTTCACAATTCCTCATTCTAGTGGAACCAGTCATGTACTCATTGTAAGGATTACCTCCCTTTGAAACACTATAGGAGTTCACTCCCCCTGACATGGACTGGTCCCCAATATCTATCACAGACTGGTTATCACTAATTCTATATCCATACCCAGTCTGGTTGCCAGAGGCACCAGACTGGTCATAACTGGAACATTTTTCCACTTCCTCTCCTTTAGACCACTCCATGGAATCTGCGTATGTAACAAATGTAGGCTGACCCCAGCTGTTCCTGGCGTGTTGGACAGCCTCGAGTGAGGCATAGTGGGTAGAAGGATAGTCTTTAGGACTAACGTAAGTTCTAGCTGGATACTTACAAGGTTCCTGCTCCTCGCTGTAGATGTATATAGCCATAAGTGTGAACACAAAACCAGTCAACTGTAAGTAGATATCTTATCAATGTATATACAGCCTTATGTTTATTTACATAATAATCTATGAATTATTGATACAATATTTTATTTTCCTAAGAAATACATGAAAAGATGCATATGGTTTAAGATGGACACACATGGCTAGAATTCAAAAATAATACAGACTCTTAGAACAGATTCAGTCAAGATCAATATAAAAGTAGCAAGAAGCAGACACTGACTGCCATATCCAAATGCCAAACAGGAGACCAGTTAACTGTTATCAAAAGTCCACTGTCATTTAACTGGATACTATTTTTTTTTTGGGAGGGGGGGGGGGTTTATTCACATCGACACAGTATAGGTCATATCGCGACGTTCCAGCTTTACTGGTGGAGGAAGACCTCAGGTGCCCTTCCATGCATTATTTCAGGCACGAACGGGCACCTGAGTAGAACCACTGACGTTCCGTAAGCACGCTGGATAGCTTCATCACATGAAATAATCCAAAGTCCCTGTCGGGATTCGAACTCACAGTGGTGAGGGGCAAGTGATTTGAAGTCAACGACCTTAACCACTCGGCCACGGACACCCCCATACCTGGATACTATACTGTAGTTAAGCCTACCAATAAGTAATTCCATATGATCTTAAAAAACCCTTGGCACAACAGACAGAAACTTTCACAACACAGGCATGCCATTTAAATAGACACCTAGGAGCTATTTCTTTTGTAAAATAGAGAATCTTCAATCCCTTATCTATTGCTATGCGGTAGTTGAACTGTGCTCTGATAAATTCAATGAGGCTTACCGCCTTGATACAGAGGGTAAACTACCAACATCACCACCATTATCTATTGTTACAGAATTAAGTTCTCTTCTGTACCGTTTACAGATGGCACCCCAAATAGTTTAAATATTTCAATCATTTCTATTTACTATTACAAGTTACATTTTCAGTTGAATATACATGGCGGCGTGGCCAAGAGGATTATGCGTCAGACTAGTAAATTGTTATTTTTAGGATTACTGACCGTGTGGGTTCAAATCCTGTCATGGGCAAGCCGTTGTTTCCTTGAACAAGAAACTTTACATTCAATGCTTAGTACTGGTTGGTTCCAGGACTGGATTCGAGGGTGATTTAAATAAGCTTATAGCTTCCAACACAATCAAACAAAAGTAAATTTGTATAAACTAAACTAATGTACACTTACCGCCAACAAACACTGCACGCCTGCATGTATAACTTCCACATAGTAGTATGCAAGTATGCACCCTTCGACAAACTCTTCTGGGGGTATTTTACGTCCTGCGTTAGACGAGTCATCCTCTACCCATGAATCATTGCTGATCTTACATCCTATACCGTGCTCTAACCACCAACTTTTACTCTTTGTACCAATACTCAAAATATACATCTGCCGATCCTAAGAATATTATTAAAATTATGACATTTACATTTTCGTTTTTGCATATAAAAAAGGCCAAGTCTAATTTGTACAAAATCATGGGTGATAGCAAGTGCTTCGACCCAAGGATAAGAAAAATATCCTGCAGCTTGACAGGGATTGACTCAGAGACCCTTTGAAAATGCCTTGCTGGTTTACTGACTAAGCGGTTTTCTCCCCTAACTAGTTAACAAAAAAAACACTGAAATCACAATACTTCTGAATTAACGTAAAATCTAAATCTTTTTTTGTGTTAATTTTAATGAATAAAATCAAGAAAGTATGAAGAAAATTGTGTTGTTCCTGTTTTCTCCATTGGGAACTGAACAACATGTACTTACCCGGTTTAGCACCCCTACTTCCAAATAAAGGCAAATAACAAATATGTTCCAACCAAGCCATATTAAACTCCAGGTGGAATACTGAAATATACAATAAAACATACTGTTGTTGAAGCAACTGGATTCTTAGAACTGTTTTCAAGTATGGTGGAAAATTACAAGTAATTAATTTGCAGCTTCCAATACATAAAAATTTACAAAATTTAACCTGGTATTTACTGATTATAATTCCTACCCAATCAACAGATTGCAACCGTTGCAGACCAAGATCAACCGGCATAACAAAAATTGTGTGCCTATAGTTCTGAATTAATAGTGCATTTGATATACATTTAGCAAATGTCCAAACAGTGTGAGACTGGGGGGGGGGGGGGGGGGGGGTCAATGTCCACATTTATATTTCCACTTGGGAGGTGCAAACTGTCCAGTGATTCATTTTTAGAGCGGAGGGCAAATGTCCTAGGGGTGGGGCTAAGGGTGTAACGGTTTACCGGTATACCGATATATTGCAATATGAAAAAATAAATTTCGTACCGCGGTACGATTTTTGGAAAACCGGTATTTTATAAAAATCATAATTTTCAATTAATTGCCTTCTAATTTTGTATTAAAATAATAAAGTCACAGCAATAACACGTATAATATCATTTTTTATTTTTCCAACGTTTCGGCAAATGTATGCCTTTTTCAAGGTAAATAAATAATAATAATATCAACGGACGTGACGTCGTAATTTTACAATTAACGTCACGCCCACTTTAGTGGAAAAACGAACAAATACGAACAATTCCAATTCATGATAAAAGAGATAAGTGCACCAAACAAAGCATCAAAATATAAAAACGACACAATAGATATCGGATTAATAAATACGAATATTTCCTATAGGGTTTAATTATAAAAAATGATAATAGGAAAAAACGAATATCTATGTGGCGTAATTCTAGCATTTGTAGCGTGGATTGATATTTTATGAATTATTTAATTGAGTATAACAACTTTGTGTTCATTCCTTCTGGAAAATGAGTTTTTAGCTTATGAATCCAAAATGTTTCTTTGCACAAACGATCTAAAGTATTGTAAACAACATCTATGGGCATAAATGAAAAGTCGGTAAAATTATGATCGTCCTTATTAAAATGATTTGCAACATTAGTGGAGAATGCAGGATCTACAAAATTGCATATATCAAATTTATGGCTATTCATTCGTTTAGACACAGGTTGTTTGGTTTGACCAACATACTGCATGCTTCATTTTTTACATGTTATCAAATATATACAATTCTTGGTTTGACAGTTAGTATGTTGACGTAAGTCAAATATCTCTCCTGTATTTGAACTGTAAAATGACGTACCACTATTAATACGAACACAATGAGAACAGCGTTTTCTACAACAACCTCCAGAATGTGATGTAAAGTCACTGTCAGTATCAAATCTAGATCTAACTAAAAAGTCTTGTAAGTTTCTTGGACGTTTATAGGCAATTATGGGTGTGTAGTTATTGTGAATATTTTTAACACCTTCGTTTTTTGACAGATTTAGTAGGTCCCAATATTTATGAATAGTATTTCCAATATTAGGTAAGGACGGATTATATGTCACAATAAATGGAAGAACGTTTTTCTTTTCTTTATCTTGTGGCCGTAAGGCATCCTCTTGTGACATCTGTGACACGTGAAGAAACGCTGAATCTATAACCGTCTCAGGGAAATTTCTACTTATGAAGAATTCTCGTAGTTTGCTCAGTGAAGTTTTTTTTTTTTTTTTTTTCTAATTTTGTACAAATTTCACATAAAATATTTAATTGGCGAATTTTGTTGGCGCCAACGTAAGATAAAAGTATCCGACAACTAGTACACTTAAAAATAAAAAGCGGCCACATAATTTACATAAGCGGCCCAGATGTGAAAGGTCACACGCGACTAGTTTTGTTTATCAAATTACTTTCTATTTATTCCTTACATTTTTATTAAGTTTCTACTAAAAATATATACATATAATAATAGTATATGAATGTTACTCCATCTTTACATCAAAACATATACACGACAATACGTATTGCAATATATTGCAATACGCTTCAGCAAAATGGCAATATATTGCAATACGGTTTTTGCTGTATTGTTACACCCCTAGGTGGGGCAGGGTTTGAGGAAATGTAAGTTTACCACAGTTTTAGCAGTTTTGTAGGGGGTTTTTGAGACTTACGTAAAATACTGTTAGTCTCTAATCCAGTGCAATCCAGTTCTTTTTTTTTAAAGCTTTATGATGCATATAGCAGTAATAAACATGATTTCAGTATACAGTCTCATCTGACAGGATAACTGTTAACATCCAAAAAAAGCTAATTCTGCAGTGCACTCCTATAAGTTTAAAAGAGCTGCTAACAATCAAATTTATAGTAATTAGTTACAGAAACTCCTTATATTCCATATTATTTTAAAAAGGATATGTATGTCTATTATTAGTATGATCCAAGTTTTCTTGTCAATTCATGTAAAGATACAAAAATTAAGGAGCAAAAAGCTTGAAATGTATTGAATTAATTGCCTTAAATGCCTTATCCTAAGAAAATGACCAAACAAGGACTGTGACCACTAAATCTTATCTTCTTTTGAAATGGATAGAAATATGTGTATGTTTGCATTATATAAAACCTTTAATTACCCTAAAATACTATTGTGCCTTAATGAAATTAAATAGTATAATTGCCATAGACTCTATGCTTTGACCTTTACCTTTCAACCTACTTAAAAGAAGAATTTCATAAGACACTGTGTCTTTCATTCAAATCCTGTTGTTTTAAGAATACAATGTATATGAAATGCATTTTGTGTATATTGTAAATTGAAACATGTATATATATACAGGGAAATAAAATATGTTTAAACTAATCTAATTGCCTTTAAATGTATAATGTATTAATATATCATTATTTGTTTAATATCTGAAATTTACCACTATAAAAAAAATAAAATCTTCCTTATTAAACCTTATTGTTTGTTTAGATTCGGTATGTGATAACCGATTACAATCAAACACAGTTGGGAATGTCAGTCAGTACTAATAAGTCATGAAGTTTCATAAAAATTTCCTTCAATTTTTAACCTTTAACAATATAATTATTATAATAGACACAAAATAGATATCATTATAATACAAGTAGTTTCAAATGTCATTCTGTCCCACACTTCCTACCATACTGACTCATACCGTGCCTTTAAAGTTTATTTTTCGTAAACAAACACACGCTAAACAGAATAAAATGTAAACCTAACGCAAGTTATGTATAAAATTTGAAATATTGTATGATTTCTTTAATAGTATGATGTAATCAAAATAAAAAATAATGGTTAACCTCACGTAACTTCTGCATGTATATAAAATTTGAAATAATCGTATGATTTCTTTAGTATGATGTAAGCTAAATAAACAGGTGTCTGGCTAAGACAACAATCAAAGCTATTATACTATAAAACTATCAATTACCTACTTCCCTTTGTGACAATTTTATTGATCAGACGAGATAAAAAAAGGTTAAATAACAAATAACGTGACATAATTGCATGTAAACACACAACCAAGTGTAACGGCTGAATGATTTTCTTATCAGAATGAAACCTTTTCTGTTTGACTGGACGTCCAAATTACGGGAAATATAAAGGTTCAGCTTACTAGCATACTGTGTCACTGATTTAGACTGTGAGACCAGCTATTGTTTGCATAGAAAATTAAGAATGTCCAAGGAATGTGTTGCAAGGTATATTTACAAACAAGGGTAGCAAAAATGTGTCATGAATTAGTCATCATGATAATGCAGTGTATGTATAGTAAAGTATACTTACTTTAAGTTTAACAATAATTTAAACAATGTCAAACAGTTGCCATACATGTATATATGTGTATTAAGTCCAAAGTCAAATACAAATGCTAGGATCAACAGTTACTTAAAGGCCCAATATGCCTCAAAAATGGTTTTATTATTATTTCTCACTAAATGCTTTTTAGTTTTTGGTGTTCTGTTATTTTTTACCAAAAAGTTTAAACTCATGTTTGGTTTTTGTAGAGAAGAACAAATTTATTCAACTGAGGCTTAATGCTCTTTTAATAGTGTACGGTACATGTAGCTGGGGGGGGTGGGGGGGGGGGTCTGAAACTGAACTTTTTTTTTGGTCTTCCAGCAAGCACAACAATATACAACTTATATGGTAAAATTACTTAAATTATTTTATACTGAAAATACAATTTATTCATTAGGAAATATTACGCTCAGACATCAATTATTAATTTAGAAATAAATTTAATAAGGAAATCAAATAAATCATTTTTATACACTGAATTTTTTATACACAGCAAAAGTGCAAAAAAAAATATCAAAAGCAGCCCTTAAAGTGTATACAGCTATATGTCTGCTTTCAGTGGATTGTAAATCATTTTTATTGCGATAAGAATGAATACAGAATAAACTTCTTGAATGAAAGGCATTTGTCAGTATACTTTATTGAAAGCAAAAGGGGCATACATCATAGCCAAACCTATTAAAAATAGCCGCTGAATGTTTTGTACTGGAACAATTTATTATGTTTATATACATATATACAATAGTCATGCATATTAAATTACATAGACATTCTTTGTAAGAAATCTTACAAGATTGAAGGAACAACCATTAAGCTATGCAAACAACATAATATTACTTTTTTCTTTTATTAAAAATAATAAAATATTTCATCAGATATAAATAGCTTTATCAATGTAGAACTAAAATGATTCTAATGAACTAAATTTTAATTGTCTATATAATTATTATAAAAGTTAATACTTACAACAGCTATAAATTTTGGTCTGTACTGATATGTTCCGAAAATTCCCAGAATTGTACAAATAATCTGGAAGAAGTTACCAATGATGGGTGCCCACATATATCCCAGGAAGTCAAACACTTGCTTCTCAATTGTACCAAGCTGGAAACAAAATACAAAGCATAGATAACAATGTTTACTTTATTAAGACATAGAAATGACAGCCTTTATATAAAATTATCTATAAAAATAAGATAAATAGAAAATTTGTTTTATTACATATTAATTTTCATCAATTTCATTTGTTGTTCGATTTATGCTTGAAAACATGGTAAACAAGGGTTGCCAGTAAGATAGCTTACTTCATTCAAAATCTAGAAGTTATAAATATAACACAGTACAAATCATCTAAGTTCACAAAGGGCTACATGATCTATGAGTTATGGGTCATGGACAGTTAACATCAATTATGATTGACACCTAAGATATGTGTAGTTTTTTAAGATTTTGCTGTTGTGTTTACTGAATATTCATTTTGCAACCAATTTTTAAACCCAGAATTTTTTAAGTTCTCAAACGCCTAAGATGAAGCCAAAGATCAAACACATCAATGTGACAAAATAAAACACGTAAAACAAGATGGTGGAAATTGATAAATTCCAAGGGCCAAAGAATCTTGCTGAATGAATTGTGAACTTCCAATCTCTTTGTTATTAGGTCTCTTGAATAATAGATATTTTCATTAATCCTATAAAAATGTGGATTTTTTTTATCCATTGGGCTTCACCTCACATTAAAATTGACTGTAAATGTCTTATGGTGACTTTCCAGCTTGAATTGTGAACTTCCAATCTCTTTGTTATTAGGTCTCTTGAATAATAGATATTTTCATTAATCCTATAAAAATGTGGATTTTTTTTATCCATTGGGCTTCACCTCACATTAAAATTGACTGTAAATGTCTTATGGTGACTTTCCAGCTTTACTGGTCAGCTAGCTGCCTCTCACTGTATTATAAAGATTTCAGACACAAACAAGCGTCACCAACATTCTGAGAACTACTCAACTAGGTGGATAGCTTCTTCACAATTGCTCCTACTCACAGCCGTGCTAGGCAAGTTGTTTAAAGTCAACAGCCTTAACAACTCGACTACAGACCGCCATAAAAAATTTATTAAATAATAGCAACTCGAAGAGCTGGCCCAAATGGCCTGCTTGCAAAGCGAGCTTTTGCGGTAACAAGAGTACCTGCTAGATAGTGATGGATTTGAAAACTTTCGTCTGAAGTACTGAATTGAAACATCACAACTTTTCAAATTACAAGATAACAATAAAAACCAAAAATTCTGATTGAAAATGGATGTGTAGACTGGTGTCCTGTGCACATCTATAGGAAGTAATGCTCCTACATTTACATTTTTTTGTAAACGATTACACCATTGTCAAAAACCGAAATGATGCTGTTTAAACGGTTACGGTACTTCTATTTACTATACTACACCATGTATTGGAGTCGCCAATTGCTGACTTAATTTCTATTTTTAATACATGTACAAAACAAGGAACATCGCAATGCGATGCAACCAGGTTTTCAGCAAAATATTTCACAGAAGCTTTGTCATGAAGGGGCATTTGTTTTTAATTGAACTTTTAGGAGGAATTATGGCTTTTTTAATATTCCTCAAACATAAATGATTGAGAAATTTTATGTTGTCTATTCGCCTTTTTTTCCCAAATGTTTTAGAAAGGTAAACAAAACAGTACTTTATTTTTGCTTAATTTTTGCATTTTTGCGTCTCTTGTCATTTTCTTTTGTCTACAATATTGGCGTGTGGTGTTTTGTGCGATATCAAGAAAAGTATGTTCACAATTTTAAAAAAATACTTGAATGATGTCTTGGAAGAAACATGGGAATTTAGTGAGCGCCAGGGCACTTGATGACAAAGCTTCTGTGAAAGTTTGGTCAAAATCCATTGAGAAATGTAGGAGAAGTTGCGCACAGTAGAAATTGTTCACTATATATTCTGTATAAGGAAAAATATACAAAGGGCCATAATTCGGTCAAATATTATCCAATCACAAAACCCCGACAATATGTGCCAGGCACTTGATAACAAAGCTTCTAAGAAAGTTTGGTCAAAATCCGTTGAGAAATGTAGGAGGAGTTGCGCACAGAAGAAATTGTTCACTATATATTCTATATAAGGAAAAAAAACAAAGGGCCATAATTAGGTCAAATATATACCAATTGCAAATCCCTGGCAATATGTGTCAGGGCACTTGATGACAAAGCTTCTGAGAAAGTTTGGTCAAAATCCGTTGAGAAATGTAGGAGGAGTTGCGCACAGAAGAAATTGTTCACTATATATTTTATATAAGGAAAAAAAAACAAAGGGCCATAATTAGGTCAAATATTATCTAATCGCAAAACCCCGACAATATGCGCCAGGGCACTTGGTGACAAAGCTTCTGTGAAAGTTTGGTCAAAATCCGTTGAGAAATGTAGGAGGAGTTGCACACAGAAGAAATTGTTTACGCCCGCCTGCCCGCCCGCCCGCCGACATACCTCAATCTAATAACCAGTTTTTTCCTTCGGAAAACCTGGTTAAAAATAATGTTCAAGGCTAATCATGATTGAGACAGCACACGTTTTCTGCATCATATCCCCATTTCACTCATTTGATAGATCAAAGGAAAATCAACTTTACAAAAAATGTATTATGTCACGAGCAGTGTATAAAATACAAAATGACAGTTTTAAAACGGAAAATGTAAACTGAAAATGAATGATTATTTTATACTATTTCATGGTAAAAGTAAATCGAGCTTGCTTTAAGGCATTGCCTTTTTCATATTACCTGAATAATAAAATAAAAATATATTTAATAACATATTGATATTGTTTAAAAAATACTAAATGGATAGCCTTTCTGCTAGCCAAAAGTTGATGCCGTGTTATAACTTATAGGCTAGTCATGCATGACTTGTGTACGGCTAGAACTTTTGGCTAGCAATACAGGCTGCCTGCCTTAACAATTCAAAATGATCAACCCATAATCAATGAATTTCTTCGGGTGGAAAAACAGAAAATTCTTATGAATTAACAATAACTTGAATAAGTTCAACAAAAACATCATCATATATGCACCTAGTGATCAGCTTCATTTTCATAAACATTACAGATCTTGAACCCAAACAATCGTGCATGACATTCTTACCAATTGTAGGGATAAAACCACCATAATCGTGGTATAAATTGCCGTAGAGTAACATTTTGCTGATTCACATGTCATCTTCTTGGACAGCTTCTCAATTAGAGAATAAATATGTGTATATGTCATAGTATTTCTTAAGTTCTTTCTCGATCATCCCATTTTGACATTTTGTGACCTAACAACATCTACAGGATAAATTAAATCTCGTAAAATAGTTCTAAAGCAATTCTTTTTGAAATTTTGCAAAAACGATGCAAAGCCGTAAAAATTGTAACGGAATAGTATATTATTTATTTTGAACGTTAGATACCATTATTTAAATTAATTATCAGTCAAAATTCGCATTTGAAAGTAGTGCGTCGTTAGGTTGCGGATTAATTATTTTCGTAAAAATTATCATGTGCGCATGCGTTGAAAAGGTAATGGTTAAACATCCGGTAAACATATTTGGTCGAACATCACTAAAACTTTTCATAGATTAAACATCACTAAATTCAAATACAATTATTCTGGGCTGAGTTTTATAGAAAACCCTAATTTATATCTTAAGACATAAGCGAGCTTTAGGACTAACTTGTCTTGAGAATGTTTCAATAAACCTTTTTTTAAACTAGACTATAGTCAAACACTTTAATAGATTTTTTTAAATTAATTCCATTCTCTTGATTTAATTAGAACAGAGACTTTATATACAAATATAAAGCTCTGTGGAACTGTCTGGCTTGCACTATAATTTAATTGATAATGTGTAATTGTTCATCTTCATTGCTATGAACATAGGAGTCATGTACGAAATTTTCTTTCAAACGCAAAAATAAGTTCAAACTTTCTATGAAACGCGCAGCTAGCCCTGTCCCGCCTGGCCGATCATTGTCTAATATGGAAAATAGTTGATAATTCAGCTGAGTTACGGCTATCTTTTAGTAGCCCATATAAATGCTAATATTAGGCTAAATGAAAGTGGTAACAATTAATGGGGCATTGTTTACTTTCTCACAATACTCTTATGCAGATGTGGTTTCTTTGAATACCACCGTCATCACGATAATCATCATCACCATTTAAAATCGTGAAAAAAGCTCACTAGTTAAAGCTTATGCTGATGTTTATTTTGTATCTGACTATTAATATAATTTATTTGACTTGACTTCTAAATCCTATATCGTCATCATATTATAATATCATCTTCATTATTATCATCACAGTTACAATACCGTCATAATCATTATGATATCATCATTATCATCATAATATCATCATCATCATTATCAATGTCATCATCATCATCATAGTATATTCATCATAATATAATATCATCATCACCATCATTATTATTATAATATCATCATCATTATCATCATCACAATCATCTTTATCATCATCATTATAGTATATTCATCATAATATAATTTCATCATCATCATTATCATCATCATTAAGTAATCGCGATCATCATTATAATATCATCATTCTATAATGTAATCATCACAATCACCATTTTAATATCATCATCATAATTATTATAATATCATCATCATTAGATATAATATCATTATCATGTTATCATAATCATCATCATGACATATCCTCATCGTCAGCACCATCATCATTGTTATTATTTCTGTCACATATATCATCGGCTCTACAAACATGATTATATATGGAAAATAGAACAGAACAGAACACAATTTTATTTACAGACCTATACATATGTACATCGTCTTGTTAATAAAGATTTGATTTAACATAGTCACATGGCAGGCGGGGGAAAAAGTTATAAACAACTTTTTTGAGTAAATAAACAAAGATTTAAGAGGACATACTTTAAGCAAGAAGATAATAACAATACGGTTGTGTTAAGAGTTAATGATTGTGTTTCTCAACGATAAAGATTCTTGGATATATTTTGATTACTTAATTAAAACAGTTTTATTTTGCGTAGAAAGTATATCTATAAATTTAAACACAGATGGTCTAAAATAATAATATCTTTTAAGATACCGCATTTTAAGACTATGAAAACATGGATGAATTATATCGGAACATAACTCGCCTTACTTATAGTGATTCTAAAACGATATGTCAAATGGTTATGTGTTAATTTCAAACATTGTTTGACCTTTAGTTGTGAAGAAAGCTGCATAGATTATTTCAATCGCTCTCGACTCCGCTTCTTGGAACTTACCAATACGATGTTGTCATAATGACAAGGAAACATGGTCGTCCGCCTAAATACAGTTCGAGCCCAGGAACCTTGGTTTCTCAGACGGACACCTGTACGATCATGCAGATCACCGACCCCTTTTGCCATACACTTAATTAGCCTTTAGACAACAAATCTGGTAGATTTGTAAGAATTTAAAATGATTGATCGTTGTTAAGACATAGATTGTTTGTGTTGTTATGATTTTAATATTGAAGATAAATATCGTTTTACCTGCATATTCAGTAAATGCTAAGGTGTAATAAATGAAAAGGGCACTTAAAGGCACATTATGCCCCATACATCCATATTTTTTTTATTCTTTAGAAATGTCAAACATGTATTAAAGAATGTTTTAATCATGGATTAAGAGCATGTTGGGTGTTTAACGACTGAAAGAAGTAAAGCTGAACATGCAGAAATGTGTCGTACAGGTTGCAAAATGTAAGCAAAGTAGTATTTTGATTTCTATACAAAATAGTAAATCACTTTAAATATAAAAATTACCAAACAGACAAAAAGAAGCAAAAGACATTTCATCTATATATAGCGAATGATTTTTATTTGGAAACTGTAACAAGATACCAAATATAAAAGGATTTCGAGAAATAAAAATGAGAGCATTTCTGAAGCATAATGGACCTTTAAAAAGGTTTACTATCATATACATGTAGTACAAATTCTTTCCGCGTTTAAATTCTTATTATAGAATTAGAATCGGACATTTATCCAAATTTGTTATAAAAACTGTGACATTTATAACTAGCAGTTCTAGACTTGTGATAATTAAGAGTATAAAGCATTATTTTCATTTGAATGTTTCTTTACTTCTTAACTATCTATATGAAAGAAAGATTGACATTTTGATAATCGTGCTTACAATTTTTACCAAAACGTACGTGGTACTAATGTTTATAATGAGTATTAATAGATATATTTTTTCTACCACACCTAACTTTGACAGTCATGTACCGGACGGACAATACTACACAACCCCCGTCTTAATTACCTCTCTGGCGTGAGTTCGATCCCCGGGAGATGCTTTGGTAGTTTAGTGAGGAAGGTAGTCTAGTACTGGTGTAACTCTCCAGGAACGATGGTTAGGAAACTACCCGCCTATATGACTGAAATACTGTTGAAAAAAGGCGTAAAATGAAACAAACAAACAAAACAAAATCAACCCCCGTCCAAACCTGCCATCCAATGGTTAATCAAACCAAGTAACCCTTTTTTCCTAAATCTTTAGAACTAGAAAGATTTTTATCCTCTTGGTTATATTGTGTTTTGGTTGTTTTTGGTTTGTTATAGCCATAATCTTATCTGTGTTTTTTTATGATTGTGACCTATGTCTTAACTTACACATCATTGTCCATATTTTTTATTCAATTCAAATCAAAATATTAATTTTATGAAATGATATTTTATTCGTTAAATCGTTATTTGCTATTATGTTTCTTTATGTTCTAATGTTGCAAAAGATTAAAAATAATAATAAAAATATTGATAAAATATATATAAAATTTTGTTTATACATGTATAAAAGTAAGTTGACTTTAACAAAATGTGGCGGCAAGTTTGTCACACTGCGATATCTACTGTAAAAGCTGGTAAATTTAATTCTTAGAGTGGACATATTCTTTTGTTAAATTACCAATACATTATAGATAAAATTATATAAATGCCACGATATGATCCCTGTCATTGTTAGTCACACATATATGATCCAAAAAAGAAACAAATACAAAAAGAAATGACACTGTGATTTGAAATCACAAACATTAAACATCTCTATATACAGAGTTAATTATAAACCTTATCGATATTCAACATAGCGGATAACTGCATTAACTACATAAAAAGAATTTAAAAAAAAAAAAGAAAAAAAGGATGGAACATTTTGAGAGGATGAAATCAACTGAGCCTTTTACAAAGATGTCAAAGGAGTTCCATAGTGTTATATCGTCTTTAAATGAGCAAAGAGATACATTAAATGTTGATGTAAATGAAAATGATTCAAACTTTGTGGATCCTAAAGAAGTGAAACAAAGCCGCAGTAAAAGTATGTGTAGACTTGAAAAAACAGTCAATGCCGGACCTAAACGTCGTCGAAACTCAGTTCAGGATTCAAGTATTCAAGGATTCAATAATAGTGAAATGGATTTACAAAGTTCATATAATTCTACATTATTTAAAGAAAGCAAACACCCGGTTGTCGATATGTCGGATAAATCGCGACTCGCGACAAAAGGTCGTAGTCGAAAAGACGCTTACATTCGGAATGGACCCAATGAGTCGGCTGGTGGAACAAAAACAGATGTACCCAAAAGAAATGGAAATCAATCAGAACCTGATAAAATAATCACGCAGACGGCATTACAGAAACAGACACCAGTAACGGTATGTAGACGTTCGTCTCTTTCGTCGAAACACAGACTGACAACTTCAATCATGTGTGAAAAATCAACGGAAGAACAGAAATCGATATTAAAAACTGAAATATCACCATCTAAATCACCAACATCAGCAGACAAGAGGGTATCATTTTCACCCGATGTATCACCATCGAGGTCTATATCACCCGAGGTTCGGAAATCGCTGTTAAGAAACGATGTCTCGCCTTCAAGGTATATATCACCCGAGGTTCAAAGAACTCTGTTAAAATACAATGTATCACCATCGAGGTCTGTATCACCCGAGGTTCGGAAATCGCTATTAAGACACGATGTTTCTCCATCAAGGTCTATATCACCCGAGGTCCGGAAATCACTGTTTAAATACAACGTGTCACCATCAGGGTCTATATCACCCGAGGTCCGGAAATCGATATTAAGACACGATATATCTCCATCAAGGTCTATATCACCCGAGGTCCGGAAATCGCCGTTAAGCCACGATGTATCTCCATCAGGGTCTATATCACCCGAGGTCCTGAAATCGCCGTTAAGCCACGATGTATCTCCATCAAGGTCTATATCACCCGAGGTCCGGAGACAAGACGTATCGCCGTCAAGATCTGTATCACCAGAGGTTCGGAAATCGCCAATAATATCTAATTTATCACCATCTAGAATGCTACAAGCAAGTTCAAATGTGTTGTCACATTCAAAACAGTGTGGGTCACCTAGCACAGACATTAGACCGAAATCACAGATCTCAGCAAGGCCACCCAGTGCATTCAATCATTTGCCAAGAATAATTGTAACACCAGAAGAAGTGCAGCAACTAGTGCCAATGTCAAACTCTTCAGAGTTCAGATCAACGTTTTCTAATGGAAGAGAACTGGAGCAAAACAATATCAACAAAAAGTCAGCCAGATCAGTGTTACCTCCCTTAAGAACTGCAGGCAAACAGACAATACAGTCAAAAAGGAGGAAAGACTCATCTGAGCATTATGATAAAAAGCCGAATACATACAGTGTAGGAAGTAAAGAACAACAAACTGATGATAGCAAGTGTAATGATGCCAATGTTGATAACAACGATTTGTGTGAACCTATCATGGACAATACACTTTCTATTGAAAACATTGTTCATAACACTGTGACGTTAAAAAGCTACTCGAATTTAGGAAAGAGGCATAGCATTGATGTTGGTCGAATCCTTCTTAACAAAGACAGAATTTTACCCAAACAAATTTTCAAACAGCAAAAGGCAGAGAATGGTGAAATCAATACTCTCAATAGTTTAGCCTCCGCAACCAGTGAACTGAAGAAAAGCATTGAAATCTTAACGCAAAAAACTCATCTCTCTAAACCCACAGAACTCGATCCATATAGACGAAAAAGTTTCTGCACTGCTACTGGTAGAGTCAACGATACGTGCGCCATAGAAAAATCCTCTTTCTCCAGCAACGGTCAAAAGCCTTCACCATCTCCTGGAGGGCGTCATTCTGAAGAAAGATGGCGTTCAAGGAACAATCACTCTAGACGGCTATCATCGTTTTTATCAAAATGTGAGGAAGAACTACCGACCAGTACTTTATTAGAAATTAAACGGCTGCGAGGTGAGCTCTTGCAGAACAGTAATGAACATATATAATGATTAACTACCAACCAAAATACATTAATGGAGAATAAACGACGGCGAGGGGAACGATCGAACTCTTTCTATACAGTAACGGAAATATATAGTGATTAACTACCGACCTAGTATACATTAATGGACATTAAACGCTTGTGAGGTGAACTCTAGCGAAACAATAATGAGCTAATGCATGTATAATGGATGATTAACTACATACCAAAATATATTAATGGAGCAGCACGCTTCCAGATTCATGCTAATTTTCATGAAATTTTGAAAATGTATCTGAATGTTTGATATTGTGAAGTAACTAATGGAAACAATTTACACATTTACAACCCGCGTAAATTGCTAAAAAGTGGTCAAAGTATGCATAACAAGCCCTTTGTGCGTTAGTAACGCAGTAGAAATATAGTTGTAAATACTGAAAAATCAGTCATTAATCGCACAGAACCTTTAAAAGATTACTTGAATCTTGAATCTTTTCACATTTCCTAAAATTTTAGTACATTTTTTCTTAAGTTTGATTTTATTGAAATATTTTGACTCATCTGGAGGCATGTAGCTTTAAACGGAGACGAGGTAAACGGGAAAAAATGGCTGTGCACTTGTAAAATTTTAAGTTCATATTTTTTTTTCTCAAAACACATGTATAAAATGTAGGTGACATTAACGAATATGTTATTAGCTATATCGATTCTTGACCGGCTATATGGCCCTATATAAACGGTTGTATTCACTATGACTGTACTTATTGCCAAAAAGCAAAAGATGAAAAAGTTGGATTCAAGTAATTGGCCAATGAGTAATATTTGGATTCTATAAATGTACACCAAAATTAAGAATTTATTGAGAAATAATAATAAAATCATTTCTAAGGCAAGCTCAGTCGTCTTTTCCCAGATTTTTATCTAGAGAATGTGCCAGAATTTTTCTTGTATGTGTTTTCTTTATTTGTAAATACGTGTGTTTTAAATAAATGTTGTTTTTTAATTGTTGTTGTTTAAAAGTAAATCTGCTTACACTCATAATTTCTATCAGCTTGTTATATGATGAAATGTTAAAGAATGCTGATTGATAAACATTAATTAAGTTGCACTAAGTTGAGCCACTAATGTTTGGTTTAAAGCCTAATTCAAATTCTCTATATCTTTATGTGTGAATATTATTAATGTTTATATATTTGAAAACTCGTTTTGATTGAGCCTGTACACGAACGATAATCAAAAAGTGCAACATCGGTCACACACCGATTTTTCAACACTTCAAAGTTTGGAAGAAATTATTGCGAAGGACCAGAAAATATATGTTAAAGCTGGCTTTGCCGGGTGTAATGTTAAAAGTCCTGTAACTCAATATTTATGGTTTTATATCACAACTATATATATATATGATGCTCAAATTAAAATTTATCAATATTGTAAGTCCCATAATGCATTATTTATAAAGATATTACTGAATTTAACATTTCATGTAAATAAGGGAAGGTAATTTGAGATTTATTTTCTATAAAGTCTAAGTTAAATTTGTCAATAAAAAAAGAATGCATATATTTTAATGATTACATATAATGTGCACAGATATTTGCAGGACATATTTTACATATTCTTCGATGTTTGAAAATTGTTTTATAAGCATAATTATATACATATACATTATGCATGTACATGTGTATACAACATCAATTACCACATACAGGACCTTTAAATTATTCATCATTAGTTTCATTACCAGTTAAAAATTTTCATACATATGTCACTGAAATAACATTTTTACTTTATTAAAATACTTCTTTACTTCAATTTACTTAGTAGTTTGGATTTGGTGCCTTCTGCTACTAAAAGAGTAATCTTGGAACACACAGCAAAAACAAAACATCTGTACCAAAGTAAAAGTAACTTAATACATGTTTCACTTCATACTTGATCTCAAACGACCAATTAGTTGACCAGACTGTACTTGACCTTCAGTCATAAATGACCTTTGCATTAACACAGATACAATTGATATATCACTGGTAAAGTCATTACCCGGTAGTTTTATGTTATATTTTTTCACGACTAACATTGATATTGGTTGTTGTACTGTGCATAATGCGAAGGATAGAATCTCAATGTTGAATATCTATTACTTTAATTGTTGTCTTATTGAAAGAATTAAAGTACTCATGAAGTCGTGTTTTGTTGTACACGTTGTTTGTTTGTGTCATGATTTGTGAATGGAACACCTTCAGTACGTTTTAAAATAAATCTCTGAAAATATCTGGAAATTGATGAATATCTATCAATGTACAAATGACATAGACATTCGTTGAGCAGATATATAGTTTTTTACACGTCAAGTTTAAATGTAATTTTTTATCAAGTTATTGTTTGAATTATCAAGTTTTATTAGTTTTTGTTCAGTGTCAGAAAATATATCACCCCTTGTTATATAATACAATATAATCCGCAACATATAGACTGATATACATAATAAAATATGAATATAATTTGAAATACTTTTATTTTAAAAATGACTTATAGACCCATTGAATGGGATGTTTGTTTTATTATTTATGTTATTGTTTTAACATAAACACCTGTCACTATAAAAAAGACTCACTCACTCACTCACTCACTCACTCACTCACTCACTCACTCACCAACTCACTCACTCACTCACTCACTCAAAAGCCTTAATCAGTTTACACTAGTCGGCTACAACAAAATAGAGTCAATGATTTTTTATTTATTAAGTTCAGCATCCGTAATTTATCCATTAACGTTAAGTTCGATTGGGAATGACGTCATTGATCAATTAAATCGTCAATTACATGACGCAATAACATTCTATCTCCAAGGTTTACTATGAAAAACTTTTCCATCTTCAGATACAAACGTGTTCGACCTGCTCGTGTGATAACCTGTCCTAGTTTCAGGAGTGATCCTTCCATTTCCGGAGTCAAGTTGTGGCATTTGAGACGAGTTTGGTTGACAAGCGATGGAAGTCACTTGGAAATGTTTATTCTTAGGACCATGATCGCTAGTTTTTTGGCTAAGACTGGACCTTTGCCGAGTAACCATGTTAATATCTGATACCTCAATGAGTTTTGGTCTTGTAGATCTGAAACATGACACAACATTGGCATGAGTCCCATTTTCTCGACAATTTGTGTTTCCCATAGAATATCTAAATCTCTTTTATCAATATATACATGTAAAAAGCTCATAAATGCCAGTTCCGTTAGATATTTTTCGATGCCCCTTTCATAACACGCAAAGAAAAAAGTCCTGCGTTTATTAATTTCGAAGTGACCACAAATGTCATTTCGATCAATATTCTTTTCTTACTGATTATTGATATTGGCGAGGTGTCGCCGATGCCGTAAATTAATACCATATTTGTGTATATCAGTTTCTTTGATATATGCAAAACACTGGTGTCTAAATATGGCCTAGTTCTGAATAAAGTTGAAAACTCGTTCCTTATACTTATGCTTTTTTGAAGGCCCATTATGCCCCATTATCGGTATTTCTTTGATTCTTTAGAAAGGTCAAACATGTGTTAAATATTAATGGATTTAATCATGTTAGAAATTCGGCAACTAAAGAAAGTAGTGCTGAATGTGCAGTTATGAGTCGTAAAGATAGCAAAATGTAAATAAAATACAAAATGTAGTATCTTTACTTTCCATATGAAAAAAACTATATTCCTCAGTTGCTAAAGAGCAAAGGAATCAAAAGGTAGTTCGTTTGTATGGTCATATAACTTTCATATCATGTCATAACTTTTTGGAAACTGTAACCAGATACCAGACTTTGATGAAAGAAAAGCGACAACATCCCGTGGCTTAATGAGCCTTTAATTTTATTTCTATAATAAGGACAGGACAGGTAAGTTTAAAATGCTTACTTGTATCTCCTGTATACAAATATGGCTACTGTTATGACAACGAGAGCACATACACACCCAACTATGATACCAGTGACTACAATATACATACAATTTTCATAAAAAAACATACATTTTGTCAAATGATTTCATTTAGTAATTACCTTAAATCCATAAAACATAATAAATTAAAAGAGAACGCATACATAAACTTGAACTGAAAAAAAGCTTTTCTAAATATTGAAATAAAGAATATAAAAAAATGAGATTATTATGTTTTATCACATACCCGTGCCGCTTTTGCGACTCTGTAAATAATTGATTTTGACGAGACGTCATTTGCGTTATATACAAAACATAAGTGTAAGTAAGCGTTACACTATAGCTGCGTCAATGTAAAATAATTCTTTTCACTTTAAACAGTGTTTATTTTGTGTTTGTGATAAAAAGAATATTATATTCGTGAAGGTTCACTACTGAATTTATTGAACTCGTTGAATAAAACAATTTTCACTGCGGATGATCACGTGACCAAAATCGTACAATGGGCTCATAAAATGGCGGCCTAGGCGTTCGGTAAAAGCAGTGAAATTGAGGTAAGCATACAGTTAACGTTAAATTTATATGAAAAACTAGGCCGCACGGAACCCCTGTATAAAAAAAACATGTACTGTTCTGTTATTGGTTACTTTGTAGCTGTCTCTGTTTAGGCCTGAAAGTCGAAAAAGTTGTTTTGGGTGATGAGTACAATGGCCGAACAGGTACTAAAATACGTTGTTTCAGTAAAAGAAACGCATTTTGAGCACAATTAGCAAAGACATCTTGTGCACAATTGGAAGTTTGCCCGTCAAGAACAATTTCCATCCTTTGTAAAGTTGCATAACGAAGTTGTGCATCTTTTTAAAAAACGAGTACAATGGCCGAACCAAATTCAATGAGTACAATGGCCGTACGATTTTATTGCCTATCCTATTTCGTCAAATTTTTTATTGAATTATGCTTGTTTCTCGCTTCCTGTCTTTGAAATCATACAAATATGATATTTGAAAGTGAAAAGTAGGAAGAATTTTAAATTAAATGTATTCAGTTTGCTTGCTATAAATTCTCATCTTAATAGTATTCTGCTTTGATAACACACGTGTACATCAGCGTAAAAGTATTCAAAATACAAAAATGAAATACAAACATGTACATTACATAGAATTTATTTCACCAGCAAAATGTATATTTCATTTACATAAATACAATTGTCAATTATTTTGGAAATAAAGTCAGGGTTTTTGTTGTTGTTTTTTGTTGTTGTTTTATTTTTGTAGTTCAGACGCAGAAAAAGTGGTTCCTTTAAATGAAAAGCATGTTTACGTATATCTATGGAATATATACATGTAATGTATATATTAGATTTTAAAATTGTGCTTATATTATCGTTATATACTTCATTACACCATATTAAGTAATTCAATATCTTTACAGGAATTGGAAATTTCTTATAAATGAATCTTTTGAAGAAAGATGTTACCTTTTAATCCTTCCTCAAGAGGCACTACAACATTCACTGAAAATAAGGTAAGAAATAAGTGGATTTCTCATGTATATGGAAACGAAAAGCGCGTGTGTTTTCGAACGTTTGCTTAAATACATTTTAAAACGAAACATTAATTTATTGATGCATATAACCTGGTACTGTTTAGATCATTTTTAATATCTTTATTTAAGATGCATACCCAAATCTTTTTATTTCTGATTTGAAATGATTATGCATTAAAAGAAGAGGCCTTTTTGATATCTTTAGTTAAGATGCATGCCAATTTTTTCTCATTTGGAATGACAAGGTATTACAAGTAGGGGCTATAATGTTCATATATAGCCGTTAAGCCGTTGGGCCGCAAATTTCACGCCGCAAGGCTGGTTATTTTATGCCGCCAGGTCGCTAGTTGTAATTGCAAGACTTATCCTCATACAATATCTTTAAACAAGTAAAACAATGTCAAAATATATAAGATAGAATTTCAAAGTACCTGTGCATTCATTAATAGTTGTTGACTGAATTCCTATGGTACTTTTTCCTGTTGGACAGTTCACACAACTAGATTGTGCTTCAAGTGACTGATAAGTTCCTACTGGACATGGTTTACAGATATCTATATTCAGATATGAACCTTTTCCACATGGAACTGCAATAACAACAGAAAGTTGTACATGTAAATTGTTTGTATATAAACTACTTTGCCATTATGTTTTATAAAATTAGAGAATGCAATATTTGCAAATATGCTGTGTTGGTCTGTATAATGCCTTATGTTAGCAATTCATTTTAATAAACCAAAATAGATACATATAGATAAGCGAAAGCAAATACGTGCACGTATCCAACAGTGCAAATGACGTGAACAGATAAACATGTAAATATACCGCAATAAAACTTGACTTTTGTTTGTCCAGGTCCACACTTGACGTCACCTTGTATTTCAGTAGAATTACTTCTCAATTCATAGTCATCATCAAGAACTTGAACTGTGAGATGACCGGAATCTGCTGCATTCTGGATGTTTTTAAAAGCGTCCTCAAGGTCTCGCATGGTTTCATTTTGATTTCCTAAAATAGAAACAGCTTGAATGACTTTCATTTGTAAATGTATCATTATTTAACAGCAAACAAGGCTAGTGTTGATTTTAAGGATTTAAAACCTCTGTCTTCTTATCTAATATCATATATTTTTTAGATTTTATTTGGAGAATACATATATATGTTTCTCTTAAGGCACAATATTAAGTGAATTAGTCAATAATATAAGGTCTGTAATTCGATAAGAATACGTTGATAGTCTTTAGTATCAGGCATAACAACAAACTATGAAAAAATTACATATGGATGTTGTTGGCAAGCTTGAGATACGTGAACCGATATAACATATTGTGCCGCGTCACGACAAAACCAACATAGTGCGTTTGCGACCAGCATGGATCCAGACCAGCCTGCTCATCCGTGCAGTCTGATCAGGATCCATGCTGTTCGCTTACAAACCCTATTGCAAGTAGAGAAACTTATAGCGAACAGCATGAATCCTGATCAGACTGCGGCTCATATATTTATACAGCAGATATTAAAATGTTCCAGAATAAACATATTTTTTCATCATGCAGTGTTCATATTTAGTCTCTTAGAACTTAATTAACATTTTATTTCAAGCAATTATTTATTACAACATCTCAACGATATATTTATATATTGTTTTTATAATATTTGAAATTCTTATGGAAATACTGCTGATCGTACACCAATCTAGTTTAGTAAAAACAAGAGGCTATCTGATTTGTACGAGAAGGCGTAGCCCCGAGTATTAATCAGATTGCCGAGTACTTTTTTCTGGGGTTCCATATTGTGACAAGGAACGTGTTTTTATGTTTGACTATGATACAAAAGAGAAAGAACATCAAAACACTCGGCAATCTGATTAATACTCGGGAACTACGCCCCCCCCCCCGTACTAATTGGATAGCCTCATGTTTCGATGCTCTTTCTTTTACTTGTATCATAGTCAAACATATGTATATGTATACGATTTAACCATGACACATTTTCAACAGAAAGGTCCCCAAACTTTGATGCAACATACCATTTGATGCAATATATCATTTATCGAAATCCATTTCTTCCATACCTTCAGTTGGATTAGTTTTTATCTGTAAACTGAAGCCGGCTGTAGTTCCAGTAGAGCGTCGCCTTCGATCTTTACTTTTACTGTCACAATCAATTGTCTTTACGTAATTCAACGAGCACGTGTTTTGTACTAAACATGCTACATTTGACAGCATCATGTTCACTCTGAGATCTATCTGTTTTACTGCAAAGTCTTCAAGGTCCTGATTTGCACAATAAAGATCTTCATAATGTGCAGAGTACATCACCGTCATCTCTTCTGGTACTTTTATTTCTGCAAATGAAGCAAACATTAGTCATTCATTGATTTGCTTTAAAAAAGACAGTAATTACGATTTTAGTTTTAAATGGCATGTACAATTTACGTTTGTGAAAAGGCTAAATCAAGCCAACCCTGCAACATTCTTATGTTTGCAGTTTTGGGCAACGTGGAATCATTAATTTAGAAAACAGAAGGGCAATTGTGAGGAGGTTTTGATGATACATTTGACTCTTTCTTTTAACAGTATCAAACCAAAACAGTTTTCATACCAACACACATTTTTCCAACAAGGTTTGGTTACAAATGCTGTTAGCATATTCTAAAATAAATGTTTATTGACTTGCTTCGCAAACTAGTTTAACTTTATGTTTCTTATTATTTATATACGAACATAAGATCATATGCCCTTTTTTGATAGGGCTTGGTTATAGAAGAAGATTTTACTTTTTTCTCAAGTTAAAGCGACCTTCAGCTTTTCTAAAGGTTAAATATACTATTTTTAGATAAATCGTTTCATATTACTGTCAAATCAAAAGAATTAAAACTGCCGACAATAAAATACATAAACATAAACAAAAACCCTCGATATCTCTAATCTACCGGTCCGCTCTTTAAATTTAAATAAAACGTCACTAACGCGTTATAAATAGTTCTCGGAACGCTGTTTTTAAGAAGGCTTAACAATTATATAATACACTTTCCAGATAAAATTCATGAAATACTTAGTTTGAAACATTTAAGAATTGTTTTTTTTCTTCCAATCGAAAATAAAAGCTTAAGGCCGCTTTAAAACTTGTTTCCATACCGACACAACTTGGTATCCTTCTGTCAGGGTTTTCGTCATTCTGAAAGTTCCATTCTTGGGATGTTTGAGGTCCGCAGTAATATAGTGGAAGAGGTTCTATATCGAAGTCAAAACCGTCATCACAAGACATTGTACAGTTAATACTATCTGTATCATTCACACAATCTATAGATCCATTTCCTGGAGGTTGTATTTCAGGACATACTGAAGAAGGAAAAAGAAAATAGAACGATTATATCATCTGTTTTTTCTTTCTGTCAGGGTTTTCGTCATTTTGAAAGTTCCACTCCTGGGATGTTTGAGGTCCGCAGTAAAGTAGGAAAATTATACTGAACAATTATATCATATGTTCAGTGATTTTTGCTTTCTTTTCTTCAGGTGATAAGCATTTCACAGGTTATAAATCCATTATTACAACATTACAAAACGCTTATTTGCCATTTCTATGAAAGGACGTCAAGGCACTATATTATTTTAAAATCAAATGCATAGTAATTTACAAATTAAAACAGCAAAACGATGAAGATACCTTATAATATTTATTTATGCTGCAAACATTACCTGGACAGTCGGTGTTGTTACAGTTTATAAAATCAAGAGCGTCTCCATGGCAATCTTCCCCGCCATTATCAGGTGCAGGATTGTTACACAGACGCTTTCTTGTTCTTTCTCCATCACCACATGTTGTAGAACAGTCAGACCAGTTTCCCCACTCGCTCCATTCACCATCCACTTAATATACGTATAAAAAATGCACACTATAAGATTGAAATATACATTAAACAACGCCTGATATAGAGGAATAAGGTTGTACCGCGTGGGTTCGGCTCCCATCCTCGTTGCCAATGTAATGTCTGCTATATTATAGTTATTGGGCAGTATGGGTAAAAAAATTAAACAACGCAGCTCTTGGTTTCTAAATCTATTTACTAATGATACTACAATGAGGTGATGCCAGGTGAATTTAGGCAAGGCTTATCAGCTAGTGGCTAATACTAACTGACCAATAGCGGGTCAATATTACGAATGTCTTATCAAAAATTTAAAATAACAGACTCTAGATTAGCAAGAATCGCTTGAAGAAATTTAAATTAAGAACACTTTATCAACGATTAAAGCAATGTATTCATTTTTACAATCCATTACACTAGCAACATATTTTGATATATAAAAATATGACATTAACCATTATTTCCATCTCCATCTCCACTTTATAATGGCTACCTATGTATATTTGACATATCTATATACTGCATTTAAGAAGTAATTTCATATTATTGACTTATTTAATCTGTACATACTGGTATTTTAAAAGGACAATTTTCAAGTTTTCATTTGGAAGAGACATGCTGCTTTAGCTGTTTAAAATAAATAACAACATTTTGTCCATTGTATATTGTTTGAAAAAAACATAAAACAAAAAGTAGAGCGACAAATTTATTTCAGGTAATCTTAACTCTAATGTCTTTATACGTTTTGTTTTTTAGAAAAGTAATTTACCCATTTCTATCTCACAATACTGTCCAGTGAAGGTAGATGTACATGAACAGGAGTAGTTTGCGACGTCATCAATACATGTTGCATTGTTCATGCAAATATTTGCTTCACAATCATCAATATTTACTTCACATTGAGTTCCACGATATCCTTTATCACAAGTACATGTGAACCCGTGTAGCACGTCAGTACATGAACCATGGAGACAAGGCGAAGAAACACAATTGTCGAAATCTGTTGGCATACATTATCTGATTGTTGAATAGTTTACATATTAAAAGTAAAGGAATCACAAATTGTTTAATAGTTCTATATCAAAGTTTTGCATCTAAGCATATTGGCAATATTCTGAAAGAAAACGATATATATTCAATATATTCAATAATGTCATTATAAATATTAAAGAAAACAATTTCAGACGTGATTCCATTCAATATAGCAATATATATATTCAATTTAACAACTACAGAGGCACGATAACGCATTTAAAGCCCAAGCATGTAAAGCAGTAGCGCTTAAAGTACACGTTCAGCGTTTCGTTAGCTGTATTTCTTATAAAGAAGTCATTGCTTGTGCCATGCTTTCCATGTGCGTGTATGATGTCATTTGACAATTTTGTTTTGATAATAAACACATCGGGCCGTTGTGGCATTAAGCTGCTTTCACATTTCGCCCCGATTCATGCATATTAAAAATGTGCGAGATGTTTTCTTTACGTTAATGTTTAACTACGTTCGCAGTTTTTATGTAAGAATATTCAATACAATACATGTATGCAAATAAGAAAACAGATAAGTAGCATTATTTTATAGATAATGGAGCATATCTAAAACATACCATCACACTGGCTGGGAATATCCATATATGCTCCTGTGAATTCAGCTTCTTCCATGGCCTTCCAGGAGAAAGCATCGCCAACATCATTTGTAAAACATCTATGTTTATATCCTGTCTGATGTCTACCATGCCATATATTAAGCTGTGAGATACTTCCACTAGTTTCGTTGTCTGAATAAAATATATTTATTAAATATATCCATTTATCATATACTTATAAATGAGATATTGAGAGATGAAATAAAATGAGTATTTACAATTTATAGTACACATATCTTTCTGTTTTTTATGGAAGATTAAGAAAAAATACGATTAAAGTAAACACTAGTTTAATATTACTTTTGTATTGCCTTTGAAATATCAACGCATATAAAATATGTCTATTTCTTTGAATTATGAATAAAATACTTGAATTCCTAGAAGATACTAAAAATATTTATGAAATATCTATAATTGATTTTTACATAAAAAGTTGCTATGACGCGTTAAAGTGATGCTTATATTTAACTCAGTATGCTAAACAGATTTAGTTAATACACTTCAGATACAGAAAAGTAGAGTATTTTTTTCCATTGAACTATATAATACCTGCAGTTATAGAAACAGAGTTGAAATCTACGTCTGTGCAAGCTCCGATAGTATCCTCTACAGGTAAAACCATACCATCTATAGACACTGATACCGTACATTTACCACTGTTATATAAGGTGATATAGTGCCATCGTGTGTCGGGAAGACCGAAGTTAACTGTACTTCCAATACTGAAAAATATAGATTATTCCACATAATCGTATCTGGCAAGCACTTATTATTAAGAAATTATTTATTTTTTAAAAATCGCTTTTTTAAAAAGTCAATTCCGATTCAACTGACATTCGATGAAAATATATTAAATTTCGTTTGAATTGATATCAAATCCTACACAAAACAAGAGCTTCGCTGAGGCGGGGAAATATACGCCCAATGGCAAGCAAATTCTAAAGAAGGTTATCACTTAAATATGCCTTTAAGAAACCGATCTTAACCTTTGATATCCAGAAAAAAATATCCTACGGACACCAACCGACAGATGGACGGACAAACAGAATGTGTCATACCTCTTATTCTTTATTACAGTGCTCAGTCCTTCCCATATCCAGACAGCATCGTTTCTGTTATTGGATAATGTTATAGTTGGATATTTGTCATGACTCGAGTTGTTAGTGACCGTGTTTTGATACCAGAATGATAGTGTGAACTCTTTAATTGTTACATTGGTTTGCATATGTATTTCTGACTGGTCGTCACCAATCAACTGAATGTCAAATTCTGAAAGAACATATAAAACATACTAGAACATACTGATACTGTAACTGTAAGTATGTAGTTAAAATCAACTGATGTTAAACTTTGTAAGTTTTAGTTGAATCAACTGAATATCAAAGTATGTATGGACATAGTTAAATCAACTAAATAGCATGAAAATAGACAAATCTTCGGAATGAAAAGTCTAAAAGAACATAGTCTATTCAACTGAATATTAAACTCTGTACGAACGTAGTTAAATCAGCAGAATGTTAAAATCTGTAAGTATGTAGTTAAATCGATTGGATATTAGTCTCTGTAAGTATGTAGTTAAATCAACTGAATATTAAAATCTGTAAGAACATAGTTAAATGTAAGAACACAGTTTGATGGTGATCACTTTCTTGTTAAATAGCAAACGGTAATTGTGTTGTAAAAACACTTTGCACATTAAATTTAAATAAATCATCGTTCCTGCTTCCGAATTATCCTATTCATTCTTTGTTATTTCAATTATCAGAAGTTTGAATTTTCTTGCGATGCCTTTTTAAGAATTCTACCGATGTATGTTATCGCATCAAAAGCATCCTTGGATTTCTAAAAAGCAATTATAAACAAAAGAAACATAAACAGAAGTTGCTTAAATTCATGTAATAACTTGTGTTTAAACAACATAACATCATTAGTACCTTCACAATCTGAAGCATAGTTCGCACCAAATGTTAATGTAGACTTTGAGCCACGACATGGCCGGCAAAATGTCTGCCCATAAGATGTTTGGTAATGTCCCTGTTCGCAAGGAGAACATGGTAAGAGGCCGTCGTAGGAATATGTTCCTGGTAAACATGCATCTGGTGTAGAAATAGAAATTATAATTGTGTGATTAAACACATGTAATATTGTAGCAATAAAACAAACCTAAGATATGGTTAACTTTATCACGCAAATATTTTTTTCCACTTGATAACATATTTCGTCATTGTCATGCGTGTTCGTTCATTGCCACGTGTACAAGTTCATTGTCACGAGTGTAAGTTCATTGTCACGTACACAAGTTCATTGTCAATTGTGTTCGTTCACTGTCACTCGTGTTCGTTCATTGTTTCGCGTGTTTTGCTGCTTTCACAGCATGAAAATAAGTCGGCTAAATTTGTACATAAAGTTGTCACCTTTGATTTTTTCATTTGAAATTATTACCTTCACAATCATGAACAGATGTCGCCCCAACACCATGTGTTGTTTTTCCAAGTGGACAACGTACGCAGGACAGCTGAGCCGCTTTGTCTTGAAATGTTCCCTTTCTACAAACCTCACATTTAGGTGAATCCGACCAACTTGTATAAAACGTACCCTCAGGACAGTCAACTGAAAATTAGTTATTAATATTCGAATACAGAACGCACAAAAGCACATTACCTTTATCGAGGTATATCATTTTACTTTTCAACATAGATTTTAAGTTTTTCTCTTCATTTTCGAAATGTTTTAAAGCCGTTTTACCAGTCTGTTATTAAATCTAAATTCTTTAATTAATTAAATTCGTTGTTTCTTCTTTTCAAAATTCGCATATATATGAGTTGTAAAAATTCTATAAACGGAGGAAGGTAGGTATATGAAACAAAAATGAATAAAGGTAATCGAACTTCAAAACTAAAATTTCTTAAAGGAAAACTCAAATGACCAGACTAAAAAGAAAGATTATTTTCACACTAAACCGTCAATGACTCAATAAAATCAAATTATCTTACTGCAGTCCCAGCTTTGTTCCGACTTCACTGAACCTTTAGGACATTCTATTTGCAATCCCTTTGTCACAAAGTCCTTTTGAGAGACGGTCGTATTACCGAAGATGGCTTCAACGTCTTTAGTTAGAATATCCTTTACGCTGTCTAGAAGTGTATTGTACCTCTTCCCCGCTGTATACAAACTTTCGTTGCTAGGAATTGTAACTGGTAATTTTGCAGTAAGAACAAGAATGTTCTTGGAGTCAGCGTTTCTTTTCTTCCTATTGGACTCTCCACATGTGATCTGTAAATAAAATACTTTTTTTCATTTCTAAAATTATGGTTGTCCACACACACATAAAAGTTTCTTTATAAAATTGGTATAGTAAAATCAGTCCAAATATTTATGAATTGTGGCTATTTTAACGGAAGGTAATTAAAAGAAACACAAGCAACATTTGCTAATACACAAGTATGAATTTCGGAAAACAACTTTTCAGCAAAATATATTTCTCAAAGATTTACATTCTTGTATGAACCTTTACCTTTCAGACTTTGTTCGCATAGACTCGTCAATGCTCTATATGTTGTTTTTGTAAATTTGAGGGAGTTCAAAATGAAACTTAGCTTTGAGCATGCGTTAATTGTCCGGATTCAGGTTTGGTACAAAGTGAGGACAGTGCCTCTGGATATCGGACTTTGATTACAAATAGACTTCTTAAAATTTAGTTGTTACTAATTTATTTTAGTTCGATTGTGTTGGAAGCTATAAGTTTATTAAAACACTTTCTAATCCGTCCCTGGAACCAACCAGTACTAATTTCTTCTTTATGGAAACAACGGCTTGCCCGTAACGGGGTTTGAACCCACGCGGCTAGCAATCCTAAGATTACTACTTCGACGCGTTAATTACTTGACCACGCCGCCAAATGTTTCCATTGTGATGCAATGCACGAAATAGTATTTTGTTATCAGGCTTCGATAGCACATATAACGTTCGAAACTTTGACACAAAATCATATTTATGTTATTCGTTTCTCTACTGTCATACATACCTGAACATTGCCTTTGTTACATTCTATAGAGTCTGGACACGCTTCTGCTTGATAGAGGCTAACTTTCATCCGTTCAATAAAATTGTTGGCAATTTGTTGTCGGGTTCCGGGGTCAGTACAGTCTCCGTCAAAGTAGAAGTACACTTCTAACCCTAGATGTTGGGAGCTTACGTGTCCTCGTGCCGCTTTGAACAAATATATAAATATGTTTATTTGTACAACATTATGCTAAACGCTGTATGTTATTCATGTTTGAGCTATAACATTAACGCCACCACCTTTAAATTCATATTAATTTTATGGAAAATTAAGAACATTTTCAAAATAAAAGACGTAAGCTAGAACACAAAAGAAAAGCGTAGAATTTCCAAACATTCAAACGTAAGCGTATGAAATTATGCATCTAATTTTATTTTATTGGTATTTTGAAGAATTATTAGTTATACCTTTACATGTTTTCACTTTCGGTGGTTCACTTGACCATTCACCTTTCTGACCTAGACACACGTATAGTTTATTTAAACTAACGCTCGACATTTGTGTACCATTCTTACACTGCACTTGACAAAACTGTCCTCCTTCCCAGTTGTCACACACTACCGCACCGTTTGTAGGTGGCGGAAGAGCTACACACGCTCGGCCATCTAGAAAAAAGCCATTTTGACTTTAAAGTTTAAACTATCAAAGATCTCTTAAGTTATTTTCGTTATATTGACTTAACAAAACAATGATAAAAAACATTTTTTTTGCCGTACACCCACTGAATAACACTGGATGAAAGATTCCTCTTTTCCCCATATTTTTATACAGGGTCTTTCAATTTCTCTATTTTTTGTAGGATAAATTATCAAGCATTGGTATATCTAAATGGTGTTTGATAAAATACATGTTTACAATAGGGGTATTTTTACACTATGGGACACTAACACTACACGGGAGGGTGATACATGTTTTGAACGGACGTTTCAATGTCAAAAAAAGCAAAAATCGTCAATTTTTTAGAACCCGAAAAGAAGTATCTATAACTTTGAATGCTAAACATATCTCCTTTAAAAAAGTTTTATAATAAAAAAATTGTCAAATCAAAGTAACACTTTTCAATATCTTACTGATGCAAGTAGACTGTTCTTTTCCTTTCCAGTTCCAGACACCGTATAATTGTGTCAGGTGTCTGTTACAACCAACATAATCTGAGCCGACCAACACCTTGCCAGGATCACAGGAGATGTTGCACCTTGCACCAGAACGGTAACCATGGGGACAATCAATGTGAAGGTATGGTGTAGGGTAAAGTTTGGAACATTTTATTTCTGAAACAGAAATTTTGTACAATTATATTATAAATAAGTATTGGCAGAATAGGTTAAAGTGACATCATGCTCATTTTTTCTTGGTCTGGTTAACTGACAATAAAAATGTAGATACAGTGCCTCGATGGAGCGTTAAAATAAATCAATAGTTTTATATTAAACAACATTTTGATAGTATAATTTCTAAAACTACAAAACTTCAAAATGATAAAAATTAGAATAAAATATTTATAAATGGAATCGGAAGTAATACGAAGCTCTTTAAGATTTTTACTTTTTTATAACACAAGATAATAAAATACCTTTATCAATCTAACTTCCGGCTTTTTTATTATTCAGCAAATTATGAAGTTCATTACAAACCTCTTACAATAACTTTAAATGAACAGTTGTTTAAAGCCATGTTCCCGGCGGCATCTCGTGCTCCGTACCATACTGAATATATACCGGCAGTAAGTCTGTTACCAGGTGAATAAATGGTTCGACTGTCTCTTATAGCCTTGTTACTATTATCCATCACTTCCGGCGGTGTCCAACTAACTTTGGTAGAGTTCAGACCTGTATCAGTGCCCGCTATAACTATACTTGGACACGTTCCAGGCTTAAATGTCGGTGGTTCAACATCTATGACATAAGTATTGTCAAGTAATGAACGAACTGCATACATAATTTACTTGAATGTGATGGTTTACAAGAAAAAAAAAGATAAACTGATGCTTTGAACGTTAAAAGGTTACCCATACATAGGGCAAAAGAAATAGCATATTCGTCTAGATGTGGCATGTTGCAGTTGTAAAATTTCTTTGGCGCATTTTAAATGGCTGGACCATTGACCCTTT